AAACTGTAATACTCTTCGTTCGTAGGGGCGGAAAGTTCGGCTATATTTTGGGCGCAGCCTAGTCGAAACTTTATGGAACGAGATATCGAACGGGTCTCTGATCGAAGGGGAGAGACAGTTTATTTTTCTCCGGCGTTAATAATCGATCGATATTAATAGAATGTATAATGGCGGACAATCGAAACGCGCGGGTGGTATTTTTCGCGAGAAATTTCCGCGCTTGCACGCGTCGCCCGGAGAGACACGGGGAAACGAAACAAACACGCCGAGTGGGAAAGTTCACGCGCCATCTGCTCGCTCCGTACAAATGTGTCGAGCCTCGGTGGCTCTGGAAATCGAGGGAACCGGAACTCGAGCGATGCCAAAGAGGATTGTGTTCCGGTACCCGGGTGTCGTCGTTCTAATGAATTCCGCGGGATTGTAAATCTCGCTCGCGACACCCTCCCCCCCCGTCGAAGAACTCGTAACAACGGATGGCGTATCAGAATTTATAAGTAAAAGCTTAACCGGAGCCCTTGCGTTTCTGGAAATTTGCGAAATCGTGCTTTGATTCCCAGCGTTCCACGTCTCGTCGGGGACAAGAACTACCCCGAACGAGGCGACGGAGTTGCGAGGATGCTTCGACTGGTTCGAGTGCGCGATTAAAATGGCGAAAGTGGGGCGTTTCGACCCCCTCTGAACTTCAACCCCCGCGCGGCTTATGAAAACTTCTTAACTTCGAGCACTGTTGCTAGTGCAATTTTGTGGATCTCGAAACATCCGTCCATTGGGGGAAATAAAAATTTGGAAACGTTAAAATTCAGGCTATGAATCATCTAACGACGACCTCTTCGAGAGTATCATTCTGAAATTATTATTGTAAACCCTTCATTACAAAAGGTGCTATATGTAAGGAACTACAGGTCGAAGTATGCGAAGAGGTTCTTAAAAAAGAACATAAAATTGAATCACAACTTAAATACAGTTTCGCGAACTCTACAAACGTAGTTCGCGGAGAGAAGAATCGAAGTTGTGTTTTTTAATTCGATAACCAAGAAAAACTCTGCAGTTTAAGCAATTATCCGGAGATTCGTGGAAAAGTTCTGTATCCGCGGGGAGGGTTCTAAAGTGTGTTCGTTGGCAACGAGTGATATAATCTCGACGAGCAAATCGAATCACCGCGTCCGATAAAAAGCAGCTGGACATCCCCGGGCCGGACTTTTCTACTTATCTTTTCTGGAGAAATACCGGGCAAACGAGGCGCGGCCGCGGCGAAGCACGAAAAACTCTAGAATGCTGCAATCGGCATGAATGGAGATTAATTGTTAGCCAGCGCGCCGCGCCTCTCGCCCGCGATTTTACAAGTTTTTTATTATCCATGCTTCGCGAACCGCGGTCGCTGCGACTTAATAAGACCGAGGGAAAAAATCAACGGTTCGAAGGAGCATTGCCCGTTATTCATTTGCACGCGGACGGTGCCATTTTCCATGCGGGTGAAATCGATTATCGGAAGGGCAATCGGCGGTAAACCGATAACGAAGATCGTTTTTGGCTCGCGGGGCGATCTCGCATAGTTTTCCGAGCTCGGGAAACACACCAGAGGGTCATCTTAAATCTTATTTTCATGAATTGGTTCCATGGAAGTCTGTTACAGTCCTACGTCGGGGCCATTTGGTAAATCGAGAGCACTCGAAAGGAACTCGAAATTTTGCGAGGGAAAAATTGTAGTCGAATAGATGTTCGATACTAAGGGAGCTCCTCCGTTTGATTTTCCTGTCGGTAATGGATGAATCCCTCGATCGAAAACATCCCTTGCAAGAAGAATCCAGGCGCCGGTTGTTGCCGCGCTCGGTTCACGTAGAAAACGCGACGCGAATGGCGGTTGCGGCTTATTGGAGGCGCGTGGAATGCGAAATTATTGGCCCGGCGTTCATCGAGCCTCGGTTCCATTTCCCTCGGCAGCCCAGATGCGTCGTCCGCAGTATCGGAGTCTCGAGACGTACCGAAACATCGCGTTCCCGTCGTCGGCTGTGAATATCTATCGATTGTCGATTAAAATGCTGCGGGCGCGCTGCTTCGACAGACAACGCTGTGAAAATGACACGCCAGCCCACAATAGTCAATGTATTTCATTCAACTTTATTTCTAAAGTACAGCCAATAGATGTCTGCAAAAAAGTATTAAAGAACATCTCCGTGCAGCTTCAAACTTATTTGTCAAAAATCATAAACGAATTTTTAAGGAAAATCGACAGGGGGTAGGTGGAGATATTTTTGACGAAATTAAAAAATTTTAAATCGTTCTAAAAAAATTATTCATAGTTACAGGGGGCAATTACAATCATTTTTGGTAAATAGGCATACCCTCGAAATCCTACTCACTTTCCAGAAAAAAATTCGAGAAGGTCCGAAATATTTCGACAAAATTAAAAAATTTCAAATCGTTCTAGAAAAATTATTTTTAATTGCAAGGGTCAATTACAATCATTTTTGGTGAATAGACATACCCCCGAAATCCTACTCACTTTCCAGAAAAAAATTCGAGAATGTGTGAAATTTTACGACGTAATTAAAAAATTTTTAATCGTTCTGAAAAAATTACTCTTAGTTGTAAGGGTCAATTACAATCATTTTTGGTGAATAGACATACCCCCGAAATCCTGCTCAGTTTCGAGAAAAAAATTCGAGAACGTGTGAAATTTTTCGACTAAATTAAAAAGTTTCAAATCGCTCTGGGAAAATTATCTTTAGTTGCGGGCGGCTATTACAATGATTTTTGGTGAATAGACATACCCACGAAATCCTGCTCAGTTTCGAGAAAAGAATTCCTTAAATACAATGTCTGACCATTCCGTTGATATGTTTCCCTGAAATTTCATGCGTATCTTTGGAGTACCATAACTTCTGAACGGATTGGAGGATCTCAATGTTTCCAGAGGCAAACAACGCGTATTTTAGTGAAGAATAAGTAGAAATTCTAAGAATATTCGAAAAGTTGTTCCTTAACCCCATAAAGTGATTTAATCTAACCCTCTTTAAAAAATAAAATAAGTAAAGCCAAAAATTCGAATAGAAATAAATCTGGATAGGATTTACGTAGTTTGCAGTATTCTAGAATCGAAATTTTATTCTTGCAGAATATCGTACAGCTTTGATTCGACAGTGAATGCGTTAATAATAGGAAAAAAAACTCCCACGAGTTCTATAACATCGAAATGAAGCGTGAACGAGCATCTAATAAAAACTATAACGAGTAGAATGTTAGCAAAACTGGTGTGGCCCATTAAATATCGTCTTTCGATGTCTATCGAGAGCCGTCTAAGTCGCTCGAAGTCGAGGGTGATGTTCTCGTTCCCCGTAACAGGGGCTGAACAAACCGCACCCACCTTTAAGCGACTTAGCTTAATTTATCATGCCCGTCGGGTTACCAGACACCCGACTCTCATAATCAATTTCAGGGAGACGCGGGTCTCCGCAACCTATGGATAGAGAATCGCGAGTGACCTTGGGGGCACCGGTGGGCGACATAAATCTCGCGGGCGATGGAGTGTGGACGCGTTCTCGCCAAGATGGGTCATTATACCGTAACGCCTGGATACTTAGCAGAGTCGGTGAACGATAGAGGGGCGAAGAGGAGTGAAAAGAGGTCGCGACCCGCGACGCCAGGAACACTCTTCGAGTCGTCGTTATTAATTCAAACGCGGCTGCTAATTGCACGGACGCCGGGCGACGGGAGAGGGGGGGGGTGGGCCGTGGAAGCACCCGCGAAGCACATCGCGAAAGTACAATGCAAATAGGTATGAATTATGGGCCGCGAAGTAAAAATGGATTTAAAAACCGCGGGAGAGCGAATAACGCCCTGTTACGTCGCTCTGTGGACCAAGAGGAGTGCACTCGCGTGCTAGAGTAGTCGTTAAATCGTTACGCGAGAATCGCCGGGGCTTGTTGCGCGGAAGGAAATTAAATTAGGTTCTTTTCCCACTGGCTCGTCCACGTGCACGATTCTGATGGACGCGCCATCGACGATCCCGAAGGTAAAGAGTATTTTCCTTTCGACGGGTGTCGTTGTGTGCGTAAGTGCAATGGTGGTTAATTGGCCGATATCAGCTATGCATCGGTCCCCGTTGGACGACCGTGTGTGTCCTCGAACACCGAACGATCCAGCGAAAGTAACACAAACGTTTGTTCTGGTCGCGGTCTACGACCTTTGACACGATAAACTTTCCTCGCTCGGGCACCGAAAGTTTCGTGGAAAACTTTTAAGAGTCTGAAGGGTACTGGATTAGGGTAGAGACTAAGCCCTGGATAGGTGATGTGCAATGTTTAGAAACTCGAAAATAAAGAAAGGATGATAATATTCACGTATTGCTAGACTTGAGCATAGAGATTTCTACTGAAAATTGAGAGTTTTCTTTAGGGTTAATGGGAATTAATTTTTCTCTTTTGTCAATCTCAAAAGAATTTATAAGAATATCAGGGTTGATATTTTTACACTAATATTTCGCTGAATCGGGGGAACTTCTCGCGAGATTACAAAGAGCTAAATATAAAATAAAGTTAACGTCCCTTTGGTAATCCAAACGGTGGAACGATTCCGCAGTCCGCGTTTACTTTTTCCGCGCGTTGTCCACCGGAACAAACAGTAGAAAAAACGACGCGTCAACCGCAGAACATTGTTTTCGTTCGTTCATTATCTCTTTCTTTATCTCCGCCCGAGCGTCCGTTCATATCTGAACGTTGTCGCATCAATTAACCGATTGTGCTTTTAACAATGTTTCTTGAAGTGACCCATTGTTATTTCATGCTGTAATTAATTCGTAATAATTCCCATTGTCGCCGATTCCCATTGTGTTATATAATTCTGTCTCTCGTCAGCTGCCGTGCCTGTCGTTTGCCATAGTGGAAGCGAACCGACATTATTTTCAACGCTAATTATCGCGAGAATATTTTGCAAATTACCGCACGATCGTGGATTCGAGCGGTCGGATTCTAACGTGATTTTTTCGTTCGTTCTCGTTGCAGAAGAGCCATCCTGACGAATCCGGACCTGCTGTCGAGCACCCCGTGGCACCGTCTGCTGGAGAACGACTTCTGGGGTACGCCCGTGAACGATCGCGGCTCCCACGGCAGCTACAGGCCGCTCTGCGTCGCGACGTTCCGTCTGAATCATCTTCTGGGCGGTCTGGAGCCGTGGGGCTACCATTTGGTCAACGTAGCGCTCCACGTGGCTTGCACCGTTCTCGTGGTCAGGGTCGCCAGAAAGGTAAATTACAACGCTCGCGGAGATAATAACGTTAATTAAACGGGGCCGTGGCATTTAAATTTATCGGTTATTCAAACAAGAAGTTAATTTCACCGTGGCGGCGCCGCTGGCCGCGGACGCTGGCTAGAAACTCGCGTTCATCTGCTTTTCGATTAACGCCGTCGCTCCCGTCCGTCGGGCCAGATTTTACGTCAGAGCGGCAGAAAACGCGATAATAGTGACACCTGTAGAGCGTACGTCATGCCGTTCGTTGATAATGCCAGAAGTTACGGGGCCGCCGTTGGAAATAAAATTTCACCGGTCCATTTAATTCGCGAATATTGCGTTAATAACTGGCGCGACGCGACCGTCAACCCTGACGGACGCGAGCGCCGCGGCTATCGTAATGGAAACAAGGATTACCGTCGGAAATCCGGTGTTCCGTTTCAAGAGCTTCGGTTCCTTTCGAGCTTTCGCCTGTTTCGCGTTTAATCTCACCCCGAATAACGGCCACGCCTCTATCTCTGGGTTTATGGAATATAGAAATCGTTGGAAATCTCCAGTATACAATTATAAAATTATTTATTTGGAACCCTTGGAAACGCAGGCAATTGGCAAAATCATTTAGACAATAAGTCCAAGTCCGACATTTTTCGGTTCTTAAGGGGGTGGGTCCAGATACACAATCTTTTCACCTCCTTGTAATTTTTTAAAAAGAAAATCTCAGATCGTTTATATATTTGCCGACGTTTCGAGCGTGCACAGTATTTTTTTCACCTGAAAATAATAAAATTTCTACGAGCTATCGTCCAAGAAAGTCCCTCCAAGTAATTAGCCACTACCGAAGAAACCACTCGCAACTCGAACGTGATTTTCCCCGCTATCAAATCTCCCCAGCGAATAAACACTCGTTCCCGTAAAACAGAGTGTTCCAACTTTCAACCATTATTCTTTTTTTTTAATTAGTTCAACACCCACAATCGCGTTCTCCTTTCGACCGAGTTTCTCGAAGTTGTCTTCAGCGCCCAATCGTAAAGCTTCGCGAGCCCCGTGCATTTATAATAAATAGAAATTTACGTCGTTTTGTTTTCTCGTGGGGGGGGGTCAAGCTAGTCGTTGTCGATCGCGAAGCACGCCACCGTTTTTCTCCCGCTGGACAATGACCGAGATACAACACGATCCTGGCCTATTGTCCCGCCTGTTCACCTTGTATTTCTCGCGTTTCAGGTCCTGCCAAGAAGAAACAACCTCGGGCACGCGATCACCGGGTTCCTTTTTGCGGCCCACCCGATTCACAGCGAGGCTGTGGCCGGCATAGTCGGTCGCGCCGACCTTCTCGCCTGCCTGCTGACCTTGTCGGCCTTCCTGGCGTATTGCACCCACTGCGACCAGGCCAGGTCGCCGTTGCCCCTATTCCTGGCCCTCGCCTCCTCCACTTTGGCCACCCTCGCCAAAGAAACCGGAATATCCTCCCTGGCACTCTGTCTTCTCTGGGAACTCTGCCGCGGCGAGTCCAACCGAAAGGTCAGTATTAAAAAATTTAAATGGTCGATACTCGTTAGCACACTATGAGCTTCGTAGAGGGTTGTCTCAACCCCCAAATATAATAATTCGTACCTTGCTTCGAGTGTTTCGTGTAAAACGTCCGCAGTCTACTCATTAGGCTTAACAATGATACCCATTTATTTTCTATATTACAACTATAAATAAAATCTACCGTCTATAATTAAAGACCAGAACACAGTGTGTTTCGAAATTGCATTAGTGATTATTTGATCATAGTGAAGCCAAGTGGCAATTCGGTCGCTAGGTCATTTAAGTAGACCGAATGCAAGGAGGCCTAATCGTGAGATATAATGTCGAATGAAACTTTTAGCAGGATTAAGAACGATAGGAAGGCTGCACGCGATAGCTTTATCGTCCGAGCAGCCCCCCGTAAGAGCAACTTAAGCGTCGTAAATAATAAATACGAATATAATTGAAAAGCGGCGCATCAGCAAAGTGCACGAAAGCAAAGCGCCTTAAAGCAAGGTATGCCCGCATTGAGAAATTTGTGGGATAGTCTGCTTTAACTCTCTTGGCCCCGTACAACATCACGTGCTTCTCTTGGAACAGTCTGTTGCAGAAACCGCTTTTTATCGCGTTTTACGTCTCGACTGCATCGCGCCCGCACTTAGACGCAGCGAACGTTATTTCCGTTCTTCATCGAGGGGTTGTTGGAAGGGAGAATTTTCTTGTCAGACTCCAAGACAAACCAAGTTGATATTAACTGATTTAATGATCGATGTATGTACGTCGTGAACTAAATAATTCTGTTGCGTTTACCGGGGTAGTTTTATTCTGGGTCGAGTCGATAGATCTCTGGTGTTTCCAAGTCGTAGAGTTCGACGGGGTTTGTAGGAAAATATTGGGAGTGGTCAGGACAGGATTGGATGTCGAAAATTGCAAGAATTATGGGACGAGGAGAGTCGCGGGTAAGGGCAATGAAAGTGAGAAAAGTCGAGGGAAAAGGAAGAGGAATGGTCGATAAAGGATAAGCAAGTTTTCACATTGCCCGCCGCGTCTCCTGATTTATCGTCGTTCGGATCCACCGTGTCTCTAGACTTCCCGTGCAATTCAACTGTTTTGAAAACGTTTTCGAGCGTTGACGGTGTAACCGTCCATCCGGTCGAGGGCTCGCAACGCGACCGAACGTATGAATAGAAATGGCCCTTACGTTTTTCGAAAATTTCCACCGGCACCGCGAGTGCACTCCATGGTTTCGTATAAAAACAAAGGGTGCGTCGCGAATGTTTACGCTGTGGAATAGTAACATCTTGACCGAGGGAACAATAGCAGTTTTAAAATATAAAATATTGCACCGTGCTCGAGCAAACCTTAAAAAGACGAATTAAATGCAATGTTCAATGAAAGAATGGTCCGTAAGTTGCGGAAGGGACGCGTTACGTTTGCGAAAACGCGCGAAAGCAGATCGAATAACGTGCTGTGCGCGATCCTGTATCTCCGCGGAGCCCTTGGACCGCGGAACGCACTTCCGGATTTACGGACCGCATCTCCAGTCGACGGTCGCACGGAATTTACATTTTACAACTCAATTCCGCTCGCCTTACGACTCCGTCGAATGTACGCTTTAACTGCTCCGCAGAATTTATGGATCGGTTCGCGGCCTATCAAATTTTAAGGACCGTGAATTTTCCCCGGGCGAGCGGCGAAATTTCGCGTTTCCAGCGCGTTTCCGACGACAGGGACAAAAGCAACCCTCTTTGTCCCGCGCGCGCGAAATCAAGTGGAAGCGCAGTTTTTTAAAATTAATATGTATATTCGGGTCATTGTATCGGCACGGTTCAACGCGAATCGCTAAAAATCAATATTTATATTTCCGTGGGTTTCAACGTGAAATATCAAATTGACAGGTTCGGCGAATCTGGCGTTAATATACGATGCTTTATTTAGACCTTTCGATTGATTTGCAATAATAAAGTGGAAACGCCAGAGTTGGTTGACATTTAGAGCGAATGCTTCGTTTAAAATATATTGAATCACTGGTGCTATCGTCTTCTATTTTCTTTAAAGGAGCTTTCAAATGTCGAAAGACATTTTCCCAACGTCGAACGTGGCTCGAACTTCCACACTCGCGCTGTTCGTCAGGAAGTTCGTCGAACCAGGCCGGTTCTCACGTGCCCCGGACACATTAACGTAAATTAACGTTTGGAGAGTTGCATTACGGCGGATTGCAACGGTCCGCGCTTCCGACTGCCATTACGAATATTAACAACTGAAAATGGACTGGTCTAGTAGAACGACGCGATCAAATTACCCCTGACGAGCGAAAGTAGGCGAACGGGCGAGGTCGGGCGGGTGATTATTCCAGCGGCAACGAATTGATAACGGGACGCAATTAGGTGACGAGATACGATTATCCATAAACGTGCCCAAGGATCTCGGGTAATTATAAGCAAGCAGCGCGCGGGGCGAATTCATTGCTGCCGTGTAATGTGTCTTGAAGCGATAATGCGTGCCGCACGTGCGCTCCCATCTGCACAGGATGGCCGAAAACACCTAACTGCGTGGGTCATCCATTGGTACAATCGAGAAAATAAATATTAAACTCGATGAACGTTTAATGACTGCACCCTCTTAACCCCTTCCCGGACTTTAACGAGTCTGACTCGCAATGAAAACTCTGAGTTTTAGTTCCTATCAGTATGCTATAAGGGTTGGTCACTTTTATTCTTATAATCTCTGTTACAAAGTTTAGCATCAATCCTGCCACACGAAGGGGTTAATTCAGAAATTGAGCTTGAGAATATTTGTTCACTGAAGTTACCCTTTAGTGAGATTTCTACATTCGAATCGAGAGAAAGGAGGAATATTAGGGGGTTGAAATGTCGTTTCTGGTAAGGCGTGGAAGGGTTGCGTATTCCGGGCCACCGTGTAGAGGGGATGTAGGGGCGGTAGATAGGCGTGTAACCGATAACGCAACTGCGCTGCACCATGTGCAAACTGAAGCCAGCCAGCGATCCTGCCGGAGACAGCAGGCTGATGCACGGTGAGCCATCTCCAGCCGCGTTCAACTAGCTCGAGCCGGCTTTAACCACCTACGAACCACCTCCAGACACACCTAGACCCTTTGGCTGAACCTTCAGGCGTTCGCCTTTCGAGCACATTGCATCCGGATGCGCTGGATGCATCAGACGCTTGGCGTGATGCATGTCGCGAACCAGCCAGCCAACCCAGCCACCCTCGGAGGGTTGGAGGGGTGCCAAGGGTCGTTCGCGTATCCCGACACCCCTCTGAGTGTAGCGCGGGAACTCGATCTTCCTGGCTCCTTCGTTCCTGTCCTCGCCAGTCGTCCACCCCGCTTCCCCTTTTTCCTTTTTCTCAGTTCCCCCTATATTTTCTCCTCTTATTATTGTACCTTCGCCCGTGTCCCAGAGAATCGAGGAAAACGGTTTCCTTCGCGAGCTTCTTGCCCGGCCAAGAGCGGAAACGTCGCTGGCTACGGAACCTTTCGGTTCTTTTGCTCCCCTGGGCGAGAAAACGCGTCGCGAGACAGAGGGAAATGTATTTTTTAACCCCCTCGAACACTTGTACAAAATTTGTATCGAAGGCTTTGTAGAAAACGATTTGCAAAGGGAGTAGGTATTAAGAAAATTTATCCAGAATATTGGAAGAATTTATTTTGTTGGTCGCTTACAAACACAGACTATTACATTGTACGACGATCCATCATAGAGTCAGTCGCTTTAAACTTCCGTTCGCCACTGAAAGCGACTGCTGCAAAGTCGTGCGAGTAGTTAAGAGTTAAACTGTGCCAGTTACGATCGGAACTCGCTTTTCGGAGTCAAGACGAAGCACGATTAAAAAGAAATTACACCGACCCGGAACGAAATCAATCATTTCGCTGGGAACGAGTTCCAGTCAGTGACATCTTGCTCGACGTTTGCACGCCAGGATATTATTAATTTTTTCGGCGTCATCTAATTTCTCCTCGTTCGTAACGACATTTTGAATAAGCCAAACTTCGGCGGTTTGCTTTCCAAGTAATTAACAATCGATCGGAGAAGAAAGTGTTCCGCGGGTTCGGCGACCTCCATGCGGTCGGAAAGTTTCGTTCAATCTCGCGGGCGATTAAAACGTTTATAACAAAACGAATCTATCGCGATGTTATAGTCATCGCGGCCAACAAAGACCGCAGAATTCCGCGAGCGCGCAATTATCGCCGCGACTTCTTCCGCTGGCTCGCAATTTAACATTAAAATGTCCCCGTCGGCTCGCTTTAAAAGCTTTCGACGTTGCTTCTCGTTTGCCCGGGACTTTCGAGTGCGTCGCGTCGATTAAGCGTGCCCGCGAGCGCTTTCCTCGCGACACGCCGATAACCAACTGTAATTATATTCCCTGTGCGTTTCTACCGCCATTTTTCCCCCGTTTCCCGAGACGGATACACCCGTCCAAACCTTTACCTCGATCCCTAGAAACTTTTCATACGACAAGTGATATTTCACAATTTTTTTATAGCGTAAGGGTTCGATGAATCTTCTCGCCACTTCCCACGTATATTCTTTAACATTTTGAGATGTAAATGTATTTTTTTCGTTACGTTTTATCGAGTTTTGATGAAATAATTAATGTTATTCGAAGGCGTTGATCGGCGTGCATTCTAGCATTCTTATCCTTTGATTTAGAATAAAATTTTTTGTTCATAATAGTACTATGCGATTATTTTTTTGTGTTCAGAGCAATTTTGCATTCTTTAAGGAGGTTTTAAAAAAATTGTCAAATATCGCTTCTCGTTTTACCATTTTACCGCGAGAAGTTGGCTGGCGCAGGTTTAAAGTCTCCATTATTTTGTTCCTAAAAAATTCGGCGCTTGAAAAAGGAAAGGGCAGCGATATTTTGGTCCTCCGTTGCGACGGATCACGGATGCAGCATCAGCTCGAAAGCGCCGCGGGAACAGCGCGATGTTGCAGTCCGTTAATATCGCCCGAATGCATGGTAAATGATATGCAAAAAGGACTGGCACCGTGCACAAAGGAACGTAGGTTGCCCCGGATACGTACAAAGGCAAAAGACAAACACTCCGCGAAGAACATTCTGGGTCGCGGCGTGAGCGATAAAAGAATTTTCATCAACACCGAAAATAATAGGCACGCCGGGGCGTCGCGTTCGTTTCGCGTATAAAAAATCGCCCGGTTTTAGCGAGCTCTTTTTTTTTATTCCCGTCGCGTTGACGAGTTCGACTCGTTTTTCCAGGCATCGTTTGGTATACTTTTATCCCCGATTCGTCCGCCTCCCGTCGAACGCGTCCCGACGATCATTGCGAGCGTCCAAAACGAGGCCGTCGTATATTCGTATCCACCCCCGGTCGTTCTCCAATCCTGTTTCGCTCGCGGGGAAACGCTGGTCGCGTCGAATAGGCAAAACAACAACGCGCCTCGAACCGACACCGATATTCTTTCGACTGTACTTTTTCCCCCCCGACGCTGCTTCGAATTACATTTTCGAGGGAATAAAGGCACGCGCAGCTCGCCTCGACGGGTTGCCTAAAAACCGTCCAGAGGCTATCTTCCGTAAATGAATCTTTTCGACGCGAAACGACGCGGTGCTCCTTTGGGCCAGCGGTGTTTGCGCTGCTCGGTGAAATTAGTTTGGGCCAAGTACCCTCGGACGCGAGACGTTTCGTTTAAATTACCCTCGAAACGAGCGACCCCGGACGGTCCGCTCTCGATTCAAGCATATGTAATTATTATTAAGATTCCACTTAATTAAGAGCGAAACGACGCCAATGTCGCGGCCGGACGGAGCTTCAATTAATGTCCTCGTCTCGGAGATTTCGTATCTGTCCTTTCATTAGAAGCGTATGAATATCTCGCCGTGCGCGAGCTACATCCGCGAGGATATTATTTCCACCGTGGATAAAAATATACCCCGTTATCAGAATCGGGCAAAAGCAACCCGGAAACCACGGTTCTTTTACACCAACGTATTTAGAATACGTGAAAATATTACCGAAACACTTTTAAATATTGTAATTCAGAGGGATGGTAGTCTTCGAGTAAATAACAGTGACGTTTAAAGTGTAATAAGCTTGTCAATTTTTATTTTTACAAATGCTCCGTTCTGGTCGTATGACAGTTCCTTTTTATCGCAAGACCATAATCGGGCGTTTACGACGCCACGCACTCCCACTCCTTTCGAAACGCATTCGGAGCTCCCAAATGAAAACACTAAAAGCTAAGGTATCGATGTTGCTCGAACAAATGCTTCGCTGTACGCGAGGTAATAGGATGCTTCGATGCATTCTATAAAGTTGAGGGAGTCAGTCTCTGGTGCACGAATAATAAAACATTGAAATGATAGCATGGGGCCTCCGGGTGGTTCCAAGAACTGTACTCTCAGCGTGGATATATCTGCTTTTCTAATTTGATTATCATTCTGGTAATTGTCAGAACTCTGTTAATGGATAGTAGATTATACTGTGCATCTGTGAGAAGTTTACTAGCGCTCATCTTCACTTGCGACACACTAGAATGGTCGCTCAGTACATAGACTCGCTCAATGGAGCCAAACTTTTCATCAGAAAGTGCAAGTCGTCAATGTTTTCTCAGACTTCCAGGTCCAACTATCCCCTCTAACCATTCTTTTGCTCTGTTTCCAGGTGAATTGCGGGTTGACCCGGGCCCGTAGCCTCGGCATCCTCTCCGGGAGCCTGGCCCTGCTGGTTCTGGGCAGGCTGAAGATCGCCGGAACGAGGCCAGAGTTCGCCAGCGCGGACAACCCGACCGCCAGACACCCCTCGCGCCTGACGCGTAGTCTGACGTTCCTCTACCTGCCCGCGGCCAGCGTCAGGATGCTGCTCTGCCCCAGCACGTTGAGCTTCGACTGGTCGATGGACGCTGTGCCGCGAATAACGAGCATCCTCGACTCCAGGAACCTCGAGTCGGCTTGCCTTTACGCGGCGTTGATCGGCGCCTCGGTGTGGGCGGTCAGGACGCTTCGACGATCCACCAAGGAGTCGTCGTTGGGCCTGGTGCAAACGTACCATCCTCGATACGCGTCCAGGTGTCCGGTCTGCGCCGGAAGACGCGCCGGTGGTTGTCACACGGACGGTTGTCGAGCAGCGAACAACAACAACGGCCCTTTTGGCGACTGTCATTGCGCCAAGAGGACGGGCCTGGTGTTCTCGATGACCTCGAGCAACGGGTTCGCGAGCAGACAAGCAGCCGCCACGGGCGTCGTCACGTCCCTCGGCTTCCTCGTGCTTCCTTTCCTGCCCGCCAGCAACCTCTTCTTCTACGTTGGCTTCGTCATAGCCGAGAGGATCCTCTACCTGCCCAGCGTTGGCGCCTGTCTGATCGTCGGGGCAGCCATATCTGGATGCTATCGAGTGGCCAGGAGGAGCGGGTCCAGGAGGCGAGGCAGGTCGGTGTTGCTGGCCACCGCCGTCCTCGTCTGCCTCATGTCCGCCAAGACTCTACTCAGAAACAAGGACTGGTTCGACGAGGAGAGCCTCTACAGGTCCGCCCTCAACGTTAACCCGCCCAAGGGTGAGTTTCGATTCTTTATTTCGGTCCACGAGTACCTGGGGCATGGAATTTTATATTTAAATGCGGTAGGAAAATGGAAAATGAAACATTCGTTTCTAGTTGACGGATCAATATATTCTCTCGCTCTCGTTCGAGGAGCGTAATAAAAATTTGTACGAGCTAAATAACACGCCATAACTCCGACGTTACATACAGATCATGCTCGTGCATCGCGTACAGCAACGGTCGTCCGTTTCTCCGTATTTGCGTGGACGACGAATGAGCGAATCCATACGCCCGTTCGATCATGTCGGTATTCTTATTCAATGCTCCGCGTGCATCCACGGTTCGCCGTTGCATATTTTCCGTCATTGTCGGTGCATCCTACCGTACTCTGTCTTTTAAATTGCCCCATATAGAAAAGTCGAGGGTAGCCGGATGCTCTGCCATCGCAGCGTTACGCGTGCGCTCTTCATAAATAAGAAGTATTTCAAGTTTTTCCTCGTTAGCGTCGTCGTTATTCGGTCGACGATTCTTAACATCCGCTGCTTATCTTTCTACAATCGCAACCCTCTTTTTTTTATTGATCGTTCGATGACGGAGAATACGGGTGAGAATCGACCCGCAGACCAGAATTCCTTCCAATTGCGCGATGGAAAAAATACGCTAGTAATTGAAATTAAGGCTATCGTGCCCCCGCTGACGTTTCAGTCCCCCTTACCGGAGAAATTAAAAAGATAACGGATAACGAAGCGTCGCGTGCTAATGACAAACGCCGCGACCGAGAACAGATACGGCCGCGATGTTAGAAGCAAAATCCGCGGGGGTGGTCGGATATCGCCGGCAGTTTTCTCTCGTTATACGACAGCTCGTTCTGCCAGCGGCCTGGCCCCTCGCTATCCAGCCTCTCATCTCGAACTTCCAGCTAGCCGGGCGATCCGCCTACCGTGTATATAAAATTGCCGGGAAAAGGTGGATACGCGACATGCGATAGGGGGACGCGGGTGGTGTTGCGCCCTTCCTTTCACCCCCGCGACCGCTTCGTCCCCTGGCACGACCATTTTATCGTCCCTCTTATCCGTCTTCGTCCCACTTTTTATCTATCTCCGTTAAACACGTCCATACGCTCGCTACCTTCCCAGTCGTTACACTCTTTGCGTCGCTCGTCGTTCGTCGTTCGTCGTTCGCCTTTTCCCGTGTCCCCCACGTTATAATTTTGATCGTTATCCGTCCTCCAATTGCGCCGTCCGGTAAGGAGGTCAACCTCCGCTTCGACAGAATTGCGAGCGTTCCAATTGTTCTCTTCGATCCGGTCTCGCCTCTCGTTTCCGTCACTTTGACGCGTCCGCTCGTCGCGAACCAGGTTATTTAGCGGTTAATATATTTTAATTGCCACTGGAAAGTAGCGGGAACACGGTAGAAAAATAGATATCAGTGATCTATGAAAATAGGTATAAGTGAGAAATCGTTTGGAGGCCTCCTGATCTATGGGGGAAATATTGCCATCGAAATTTAATTATGTGCTAGATTTAATTTGCAAAAATATTGTTCTCGTTTCCAAGAGATTTCTGCATAATTCCCGAGATACCGAGCGAAACGTATTTTTCACTCCGAAGTTCGCAGGGCTGATTTCACCCACCAGATAAGGACGATCGTTGATAAAAAAAAAATAGAGGCTAAATATATTTTTAAGGAGTATAATCTGCATAAATTTTATCAAAATTACCGTGCGACACGTACGTAAGTGATGTCCATAGCGAGTACAGATTCACGGATGCATCAATTGCCGCTAATGTTTTTAAAAACTTGATAGTCCAGGCGAGAAGAGCAGTATCGCGAACAGTATTTATTTCCCCAAAGAAAGTTAGTCGATACTTCCCGACCGTATGCAAGTAATAGAGTTGCCAAAATGGCATGTTCCCATTGGCCGTAGCTTAAACCCAGCCGCTTGTCCTTAACCCCTAGACGACCATAAGCGTACCAGTACACTCTCTGCGGACTAAGCCACTTCTGCCGTAAACATACTGGTACAGTTATAATAGATTAGCGGTCAATACCAGCTCTAGTATTCCGGATATTCATTTATTTAACTCCCGCCAGTTATATTTAACCACCCGGTTGCAACAAAATGAATTTGCTTTCCATTTTCATTAAATAAAACATGCTTTGCATATTCCAAACATTCTAAACCATTCAGTAAATTGAGAAATTATTAGTCGATCTTCCGTAACATTAATATCTTTCGCGAGAGGAATACAGAGTCGGCGAAATAGAAACGGGACAAACAGAAAGAAAGGTTGCAGCAAGATAAACGAAACCCAGTAATAGCATGGCTCGTGGAAATTGACAAAAATTACAGAACTCGGTTTCGACGACGCCGTGCGCTGAAAGGTTAACAATATCGTCGACAAAACTGTGCATTCGTTCTCTTTTTATTTAGCAACCTAACCCCCCGTGCACGCTCGACAGAATGTTTGCTTATCGTTCACCTCGCTTTCCGCTTCTTTCTTGCATATTTTCCAACTCGCCCCTTTCTGTCCGTTTCTTCTGCCCCCCAGTTTTTACCAATTCAGTTTCTTCTCTTCCGGTCAACTTCACCTTGTGCACACACGTAACTGTGAAACAAGCAAATGGTACCTGCACATTATCAAGATAGATTCGATTAATTTTCATCCAGGATTTTAAACTATATTTTCTTCTCAAACATTTCTATTTCTATTCCAAAGCTCTCCGTTAAATATTCCGTGCACGTTTGATCCAAAAACACCCGGGAAACTTCTCTGTTTCCCGTTATTCCCATTCGACGTATCGACGATGGAAATATCGGTTGTCCCGGTGACTTTCCTCCCCCGCTCGAAGTTTTATCGCCTCCCTTATCCGTCTCTGTCGGTTTTTGTTCACCCGTCTTCGTTTTTACGCGCTATCTGCCCGATCTGAGACCACCCCCGTCGTTTCATACGGTCCCCCGAGCGTCCTAATTACCCCCAGGAACGTCCGATGCACCCGTCGGGATCTTCGTCCTGGTGGCTTCCAGCAGAAACCATTATCGCGGTTGCTTATTTCCGTGGAGTCACGGGGTAACTTCATTTCGCGGCGTAATATACCTTGTAACCGGTCGTTCAGCCCTTCGTTGTTGCCGCGATGCGCCTCGCTTTGTCGCCTACCCCCCGGCATTGTTTCCCTTTTAATCTTCGCGCGAAAAGAGCCACCCGCGGGGGTGGTCGAGAGAGACAGAGAGAGAAAGAGGGATGGTCACGCGAGGCAAACGCCCGGTTACATCCGCACAACCCTTCTGGCCCGTGCTCCGAGCGACGGCACCATCAAACCACCCGCTTGGCTGCGTCGCGGCGCGTTTTAATTGCGCCAACAGGAATTGCGTATTACCGCGTTGCTGCCGTTCCAAGCCGCGTACGGGTATAAAATATTTTTTATTCTATTTTTTGTTCCGCGATGTTCGAGTGATACGACAGATATTCCACCCCCCTGCTGGGGGCACGCAAACTTCTCTCATTCGGGTCTGAAAAATGTTCGAAATTAAATTGTTGCTGGGCTGTCGACGAAGGAAGTCGATTTGGGAAAAAATCTAGGGGATAGTGTATTTTATAATCTTTGGAAAATAGCTTGAAGAATTCAAAAATGTAGATTGATAAATTGATACCTTATTTTTAAACTTTGCAAGCTTCTTGTTCAAATAAATTTTATTTTTTTAGGGCCAAGACACGATGGTGAAAAATACTGGGAATTTGTTTACGAGGTAGAATTGAAATTTTTAATCAGGAATATTCCGCGCGGCGGTCCATCGTCTTACAGAAAGGCAAACACTCGGCCTTTGACTCGCGGAAGTTGGAGAGCTCTGGAAATAGCCCAGCCTCGGCCAGTCTATTCCGGCAAACAAAAGCCCCCCGGTCCCGAATCTCGGTTCGGCAAACTGCGTGGCGGTATTCCCTTCCCCATCGACCACTCTTTGCTTTTTCTTCCCCCTAAACTCGCCCCAAAGTCACCCTCCGTGGGACGTGACGTCGACGAGGCTTCGGGTCCCGCACGTACATAAGTCGTCGAGGCTGATTCGAACGCGATTCACCACGGTTAGCTGCGATTCTTCCACCGATCGTCCTCTGGCTAGCGACCGGGGATGATTAGGCACGCGTCCTCGAACCGGGGAAGAGAGAAATCTCGATTGAAAACCGCCTTGAGGGTGGTTTTCACCCCAGCGATGGTTGAAAATAAAAGCAATCTTCAAGAATTTTTTCGGAGTAACTTTTAAGTAAAAACTTTTAAGTAAACTTTTTCTAATGAACGTTGAATATTCTCGAAAGTACATTTCTTGAAAATATTAATTAATATAGACATAATAAGAACCAGCGTGGGAGGCCTCCAAAAATTTGGTAGAAACAAGAAATCATGAAATTTTCTTAAACTATACGACAGTAGCTTCGATTGCACGTACGGATTTTTGCTAATAATTATTTATTACAAAATGGTGGAACTTTGAAGGAAAGATCTCAAGAAACTATAACAAAATCAATATTTTAACACTTTTAAATCAAGAATTTTGCTTTAATATTTTAGGGGGTCATTTTTCAACCCCCCAAGCATTGATAAAAAAAAAATTTCGATTTTTTCAATCGGTCACAGTGGTTTTCAGACCTTGAAGACTCTCGATATACAAATGATCGATACAACGCGGTAAATTATTACCGATAATTCTTCGAGGGCACTTCTAACAAAACTCCGTTCGACTTACGAGCACTTTCGAACCACGAATTGTACGTTGTTTTCGAATCGAATGAAGCTGCTTCGATTCGCGTGCACGATATTCGCGACGAAGGAACAGATATTGGATTAACTCTCGCGACGCGTATATTTGTGTGCACGAAGAGTGTAACAACTTCCTCCGTCCCGGTTACGTTTCACGGAAGTTATGGTAGTTCTCGTGTGAGAAACTGTACCGGGGACGGCCGGTTTTCGATGGAATCGCGCGGCGATGAAATACGCCCCACGGCGATTTATCGCGGCTGATTTAACATACCGGCACCGCCGTCGGGGATTATCGTCGAGTTGTCGCTGGGAGGGATCGAATTTTCGTGGCGAGAGGGTTGACCGCGACTTTTATTTATGAATTTAAACTATCCGACGGGCGGCGAAACGAGACGATCGACGACGACGATCGCAATCTTTTCGCGTTTTTCTCCATCCTCCCCACCTCTTCCGAATGTTTAATTATTTTCGATCGAGTCGCGTTCCCCGCCAGCATAAAGATAAAGCAACCCCTGCTACGCGCCATCCATCATTGGTCGTATTTATGGACAGTCGCGCGCGAGAAACTGAATCAGAGCATGTATTTTTATAAAGATAAGGACAGTGTTTGTCAAACGTCGTGTTAACGTGGGACATTTTTCTTTTTAAACCAGTTACGGTCTTTATCAAACTACTATGTATATTTTTCAAAAATAAATTTGTATCATCGAATAAATGGAACAATGGATACGCGGAAATGAAAGGGTTCGATCGACAATGGTTGTTCTTTCGGAGGCTCGATAGATCACGATGAGAAAGAAATCGTTGTAAGGCTCTCTGATTTATGGAGGAAATATTGCCATCGAAATTTAATTTAAACAAAAATATATATTGTTTATTGAGTATGGAACGAACGTCGAGCAAATAGAGTAATTTCAAAGTTACATTGAATTCGCTTATCTTTATTATAATTGTACGAATTAAGGGATGAATGGGGCTGAATTGAATGCATGATTAATGGACGGTGAAAACACGGCTCCCCCATTAAGCTTGATCGCGGTAAATCTGGAAAAGGCACCGATTCGTCGTTTTCTCGAAGCTTTTCGCGAAACCCCCGGGTATCGTTAACACCGGAACACTCGAGTTCATCGAGCGACTCGCGCCCCAAATACGCGCCTTAATTCACGGCCCAATAATAAAGCGGAACGCGCGAAATAAAAAACGGACCTGAATGATTCGAGACGCGACGCGCGGCGACAGGCGTTCCATTCTCCGTTCTCGCGAATTTACAAGTAATTCAGTTTCGTACAGAAAAAAAAACGTGTAAAAAAACAGGCAAAAGAGTTCAGAATCACGTCGTATAATTAAAAATCCTCCAGAAGCTTGAAAAATTCTGGCCGTAGCCTGACATCTTGAATAAGCGTTTTACGCTATTCATAATTCTCGAGACATCTGAATTTCTCAAGAGCCGCGAAGGAAAAGGTTTGGTCGTTAATTAAAATTATTCTTTTTTTTTTTTTACTCGCTTTTCGCCGGCGAGATTTACCGTCGGGGATTATTCCCGTCCCGGGAACACGGGACACGCTGATATTAAAAACAGTTACGCGAGATACTCGAAACGTTGAAACACAAAGGGGTTGAAGTAATCTCCGTGTTAATCGTCCGTGGACCAAACGGGAAACACGGTACGAGCTTTTCGAATCTCAGAAAGACTCGTTATTACAACTTACTAAAATATTAAAACGACGCAAAATATTGTTGATCACCAAACTTACTCCTGAAACTCACTCCTGACACGAAAATTCCTGTGATTAGCGATTGGTTGGAAGTTCTATAGATCTTAAACCAGCGGAAGGGAGTTAGATCTGGATGATTAAAATATAAAAATGGTGAATAATCTCTAAAATTTTGATGATTGGCGATCGGTTGGTTGATCGTAAGTTTCGAGAAATAATGAACGTCTCTGGCAACCTGGTCGAAGTTCCCAGAGATCTTAAACCGGCCGAAGGGAGTTCGCGGCGAAGGTGGATCGTCCCAGCCGTGATCGCGGAGCAATTTTACGACTGCGGATTCATTTATTACTGTTTGCTCGAGTAGCTATCGGGACGAGCGGCCAGGGTGCCCCGGGAAATGTTTTACTGGCGATATTGTTGGCCGAAGATAAAGCGGAAGCGGGTTCGCGATTGCCCGTGCGCGCTCCGGCGCGATATTTGCGCTATCCGGAGTGTAACGGCGAGCGGTCGCGTTGTGTACGGCTTTATTGCTCGTAAATACATAGAACTGAAAAAGAAACGGACGTGAATTCGCGGGGGCGGATGGAGGGGAACGGGAGCTTCGGAAGAAAGGAAAGGGGATTCCGCGTGTACCTGGCGCGCGTCTTATTGCCTTTCGAGCAGCAGCGCGCGCTGCGTTTAAAAATATATCGCGGAGATATATATTGTCCCTTGTATTAGCTCGGGCGTGTACGTGAAACGTCGTTTTTTTCAATCATACTTCGGAGAGGGCGGTCCTCTTTTTCGTTTTCAAGTTCGTCCACTTCCCCCGGAGTGCCTTCGAACTACTTTCCTAGCAATAAACTACTCTCGTCGTTCTGTTTCGATAAATATCCGGTGCTCCTCGAATATTGCTCGGATTCTCCATTTTATTGGGTAGAAAATTGGCGACTCGACTGACTTCACGTTTGTTAAGTTTGAAAAGAATAGAAACTATTTCAGTGGTACTTGTTAGAGGAATAGATTTGCAAATGCAACGAATAAAAATTGTAAACCCGATATTTACTTGTTTAATACAAAAATTACACGAAGTATTCAGAAGATCGAAGCTACGTAAAATACGGTTTTGAATAGAATTTTAATTGTTACCTGGGTGGGGGAATTTTGACAAATGAAATTTCATAACAATTTTAGAACAACAGATCGCAGTATTTTGAATATTTATCCAATTTATTATTCCAGTCTTGTCGCAGTTACGAAGGGGGACGGATGTACTCTCTTAAGAATAAACTTGTATTCAGTTATTAAATCCGTTTACCTCCCTTTTAAGTACTCCTCCCCATTTCGATTTCTAAACTTGAATCGTAATGACAAAATAAGGAAACTATCGACAATAATTGAACAACTGTGTTTTATCGGAGTAAAATGTTTGACAATTCTTGCTCGAAAGTTTAGAAATCAACGCCACGAAAAGGAATCGAATCGACAGGTATTTCGTAATGGCGCCACGCTTTCCATTCTTCCCTCCCTTTGACAGTCCGCTGTTTACCGCGTTCTCTTGGTCGTTTTTTAACGAGTGTCCCCGTTGTGATTGTTGCAGCTTATGGTAATTTGGGCGGCATCCTGAGCGCCCAGGGACGGGTCGCGGAGGCGGAGGAGGCGTACGTCCAGGCGCTTCGTTATCGACCGAACATGGCGGATATGCACTACAATCTGTAAGTACGCCGTCCCAATAATCCACTTTGCCGCCGCGATGCTTTTTTCACCCGCGAACGTACATAAAGTCGATCCTCCACGGGGTAAACAAACGATCAGGCGGTCGACGAACCAAATTCGAGCACCCTTTTCTTCGAACATCGGATTAACTTAAAAAATCAAAGATTACTCGCCCTCCCAATATTTTTCAAACCCTCGAATAAACAACAAAATCTTTGGAATCTTCGTTTCGCAACCAGCTGATTCTCTCCAGAATTAACTTTGTCGAAATTGAGTGACCAGGATTTTGTTTTGGAGGGAAATTAAGATCGTAATCCCCGTGTTCGAATGGCCCCGCTGTTAGTCTTTCGTATTTTTCCATTCAAATGTAACATCCAGCCCGAAAAAAGATTCGTCGTTTCCTCTGGAAGCTGACACACGGTGGACGTTCGCCTGGAAATCCAGAGACGAGACTGTCGAATTTGCGTAATCCGCGAGCAAAGCGTCGGCGCTCCGCAAATCTCGCAAGCAATGAAGTCGCTCCTGACTTAAGCAGCTGCTGGATGGAAGCAGTGTCCGAAATCCCGAAAAGGCCAGCCAGGAACGCGAGCACGACGGGCTCGAAGGGAATAAAGGGCGCCCGGAAGCCAAGCGATCCGTGGAGGAAAGTCGGGTACGGTTTAGGCGAGCAGTTGTCGTCGCAGGATCTTCGAGGAATAACGCGTGCCTCGATACAGTCTCGACGTTATTAATTTCACCTCGCCCTCGAGGATCACTCTCTTTTTGCGCGAAGCTTCATTTTCTGATAAGCTTCTGACGTTCTCCGCGCGAAAGGGTAATTGATGAACTTCCCGCGCGATCTTCCTCGATAAATGAACGCCACGATACCGATCTAAATTAAAAGAGTTAATTCCCGTTCGAGGGAAGAATATTAAAATATCGACGGTGCGTTCCGAAGAGTCTTTTTGGTGAAAATCAACATCAAGTAAAATAATTCGGTTGAGATTGAGAGTCCAGTTAAGAGTTAAAACGATAAGATTGCTTTAAAAAATAGCGTCCGTGCCTTGATTTGTATTTTCCAAGAAGTATAAAGTGTCTGGTGATTTATGAAACGTTAACCGAGGAACCAAAGGGTTGTAAATAGTCGGTCGTGGGGAAGTTTCGGTGGGTTTAACGAAGAAACGCCGCCCAGTGTGGGAGAGAGGGGTTCCTCCGAGAACCGCCGAAAGTCTCTCAGGACTTTCGATCGGGTCTCATCATCTACGATCCTCTCCGGGCCGCTTCGAGGAGGACGCGGAAGCCTGTCAAGCCAGGCGAGTCGATAAGCCGCCCCTGGGCATCCCTCTGCGAGCTTGCGATAAGCCGCTCTACGTACCACACACTCGGTGCAACGTAGTTATCCATTATCTACGCGGAGACCGGCTACTACTCCAACAGAGAAGAAGCGTCGAGTCCGTCGCGATTGGTTCCGTTTCGACTTCCCGCCCCCATCCACCCTAAAGCCACACTTCCACTTCTCAGACTCTCTTATACAAATCTTAGACTTGACGTTAAAATTCTTCTCCATTGGTTAGTTAAAAGACACACTATGGAACACAAGTATATTTCAGACTCGGCTCCTCACTTTTTTATATACATTTTCTTCGTTTCTATGTGAAAATATAAGTGGGAATGTGACTGTAGATAGCTTAGCTAGACTTGAGACAAATTCTCTACTTTGTACGGTCACTTGCTCACGCAGACATCTATCAGTGCCTTTAGACATCGTTGATAGTGGAAATGTGACTTTAGACCGGCCAGATTAACGCGTGCATGAAGCACAAACTCTCTATTTCTATCTATCTTTACAAAACTGTGACGTACAAGTGGAAATGTGACTTTAGCTTGATTCTTAGCATTTTTACCATCCAACACACTCGTTTTAAAATTGAAAAAACACAGAGTCCGAACGCGAAAGCAGCATTCCCTATCGCGAGAATCTAATCTTCCAGCGCCTTTGAGCCCAATCGCTCGCAAACGAGCCCACCGGTTAAGGGATCGTCGTGCAAGGTTGGAAATATGGCCCGCAGGTGGTTCGAATCGTTACAAAGGACCTAACCCAAAGCAGCCCGAAAGAATGGACGACGGGGGCAGGCTTCCACCGCCATTCATTCTCCTCACGGTGGCCGTGTAGTCGCCGATACGGGCTTTACGTATGGGTTCTCCGCGTTTTTCTCGCCGCGATTAATAAAGTGCACGCGAGATAGTCTCTAACTTCATAAAATTTCACGCCGCGAACGTGGCTTGAAGGGGGAGAGGGGGGAGGAGAAACGTTATTACGATCCATTTCGCGGAAGGAACTTTTTGCCACCGTTCGCGCCATGGCGTGCGGAGAAGAAATTGCCCGGGCCACTCGGATAACCCGGATTCATTCTTCGCTGGCTATCGGCCTCGTCGATGAAAGGAAGCGTATCATGTGTAGCCATTATCCCCGCCCCCTCGTATCTATCGCCGTGGGCTACAGACGGCGGAAGTCCCTTTCCAACTTCACGCGTCCCTAAAGAAACCAAAAAAATATTATTTAAACAATTCTATTAGATAAATCACAGCATCGAACATTATAGATCCCGTTCGATCTTGTTTTCGAGTTACTTAACGATCCCCTTGCATCTGAACACAGGCTTGGAGACGTTTTCTCATTGATCGGTTTAGCTTTTAGGTTTGTAAAGAGCCTCCATGAATGTTAAATTAAATTAAACGATCATCGACAGAGGTGATGGCCCCGCGGATCGTTTATCCCCGTGACTCTCGAAAATCTCTCGAAAGAAGCGGCCTGAACCGACGCGATAAGCCAAGAGGCCCGGTACATTGTCCACCCGATGGATCGATCGTCGCGACGCGAACGACGCTCCCGCTCGGACAACGAGACTCTACGCCTATACGACGTCTTCCCGGCGGCGTCCTCTGTCCCGCGGGAAGACTGATGGCGGGCTCAAGGCGTCGCGACAGATGTTGATTTATTAAAATCCCCGGGCCGATCGTAAGTCATCCGTCAGTGGGAGCAACGGCGAATGGAAAATTGATTAGCGCCGGTTAACGGCGGGAAGGAAGCTACTACCGAAATACTTTTCGTTTATGTAGCACTTAGGTAATGATGTCATGGGGGATCGAAAGGTAATTAACAGATGCCCCGCGCGGGGGGGGGGGGCGGGTGGATGTTTTAATCACACCGGACGTCGTGCAGGAGCGGCGGGATTAAAAAATAATTGGCTGCGCGAGCGAGCAAGCTGATGAGAAGGGCGAGAGGAGCTTAGGAGGGACGGTAAATCGCTTGAGCCGATGAATAATTACGGCGAGACGTGGGTTCGGGCATCGGCGCGAATACCGTGCTTTATTAAAACTAAAAAGAACGGAAGGAAAAATAAAAACAAGGGTGGGGAGACGGGAGCGAAAATGGACACGGCAAAGTGTATACGTGACACGTTAATTAACCCCTCGGACCCGATGCCAGCACGTCGTCCGCGCTACCATCTCCGCTACACTAACTCGTACCTCTGATATTAACTTTATTGTCCTGAGAATTATTATATCCACGTTTCTCGAACGATTTCGCTTCTTCCATGCCATGTTTCAAGTCACGGAACATGTAACGATACGAATGTACTCGCTGATTGAAAGAAAAATCGTAAAGAATTAAATAGAAATTCGGTATGACTCAGAAACTGTATCCTTCTAAATTTTGCAGACTCTTGTTCGCTAAGAAAAAGGAACGTCGTAGGAAAGTGTAATGTATCGAGTAGTATCGAGGGTTCGTCGATGGGGAAATTGCGAAAACGGTAACGAAATGAAGCTGCGATCCGTGCAGTTATAGCGAATTAATTTGCTTATTGTCCCGGTGAAATTGACGTACAACGAGCCCCGCGACGAGCACGCTAATTGCGCCTCGCCGCGTCGACGGTCCCATTTCTCGACCTTTGAACTTCCGCGGCCCGCCGCCTCGCGCTACGATGACGACGAAGTTCGTTAAATAGCTGAAAATGTTTGCGTTGTTCGCCGAGAGTGTCTTTGAATGCGCCCGGGAAACCGTTTCTCGCGCGATCGTTGTTTAAAACTCGCGACACAGACACGACGTCATTTTAATAATCGATTGATGGAGTCGATAGACTGATACTGTGCCACTGAGTGAACCAAAAATGATAAGTGTGAATGGGGGTTCGAGTACGACGTACCAAAAAATCAACAGAAATGGGGAAAAGTACGCGTACGAGCGTGAAAGATATACAATTTGTTAATAAAAGGAGTAGAACCGTTTCGTCGACTGTCACGACGTTGCTATTTGCGTTCGTCGACCATGCAACACCCGCAATAAAATCTCGCTTTTCTGGCTGTCCGTAACAGCTACTTGTATTCGCTGAATTCAAGTTTCATCGGAATTGGAATTCGTTCGATTCAGGGTCCACGGATATCTCGGGACGTTTCGCCTTTGGATAAAGACGCGATGCGAACGGGAACGGTAATGGGTATTTTGATGGAATTTAATGTCGTCGATGCTATGCGTTCGTTAGAGAAATCGATGGAAAGAATAGAACGTTCGACGAATGATTTCTCTCTGCTAACACGTTGACTGACAGTCCGAAATCGCGAAATTGTTTGCGAGGCCAAAACTTTAATTTTAGACAATCGTGAACTACATATTTAAAACCTGTCGCTTACTTTCGTAACTTCTACTATTTTCTGTTAAAAGTTCTGTCACCCATATATGAATGACATGGACAGTCAAAATGTTAAAGTAGAATATAATATAAAATAATAGCGACGACTCGTGTCCCGAATTAAATTATTCAGTAGGAGACGAACGGGGTAATTGCAAAATATGAATGCACCGTGACGTACACAGCGAAATATCGGTTAATTGCCGTAAATTTACACGACCGGGTTTGATGCACAGCGAAGGTATCGAGAAATGATCTAAAATTGATGCTAATTGAACGACTGTCACCGCTGAAAACAGCTCTCTCTTAACTGGAGCATTAGCCACGAT